CATTACAGAGTCAAACTGATAATAGGTCTTGTTTTTGAAACAAATTTGTCCAACAATATGCTGAGCAGCATAATATTCAGTGGATTTTTCATATACCAAATTATCTACAATCTTCAGGATTGATTGAACAGATGAATAGATTATTAAAGGAGCAGTTAAGAAAGCAAGGAAATAGAAACCTGTCCCGGTGGAGAACTCATCTCACTGATGTGGTGCATACTCTCAACAAGAGACCCCCATCAGTGAGATGTAGACTCCCTTGACATGCATGACTACACCCAATTTGCAGATACAGCCTCTAACAGTGAGTGAAACTTTGACTTACTGGGAAATTGTCCTGGGTGCGACGGCCTCCTACGGGGCCACTCCAGAGGCTGCTGGCCTAGATCTTTATGCATTAGAATTGATAGAAGGCAAAACCAGATGAGAGTTATTAACACTTGGATAGGAATCCGAATTCCCCCAGGTCACTTTGGTCTGATAGCTAATTGCTCAAACTTAGCCCTAAAGGGTTGTAAAGAGAACACAGTTAATGACAAAGTCCGAGTCACTAAGTACACCATGCAGCTGTTTCATGCCTGGAAGCATGAAACTCGGCACTGGGTGAGGTGCTAAGCACTGGGCGAGTGTGGCAACCATCGCCATATAGATATCTGGTGTTATCTGGGTGCCCGGAGGAGCGTGAAACGGGGCGGAGGCCTCGTGGTCCCAGTCTTCCGATGGCTTAGCCCGAAACAGAAGGAGCCTCTACCTCCACCCATGCAGGTGTAAATCAACTGACTTTGCGGCACTAACGTAAGCAATAAGATTGTCCATAGTCATCCCCACCCGCACATACACCCTGGTGATGTAATGTAAAAAACTCAAGTATAAATATCACCCCAATGTCGGCCCCAAAACTGGGACAGGATCGACTCGGAACCATACCGATAACAGGAAGGATTGATGAATTCGCTCCTTCGCCATCCTCCCCACTTGGGACGCTGTGTGGGTAAGCTTATTTACCTCAGCCAACACTGAGAGACAGAGTTTTCCTGCCCGGGTGTATTCGTATTTTTCTCCTCAGGTGCATTTCTGTGCTTCCCTGAGTGTAACCTTGGTTCTTGTCATGACTTTACTGTTTCTTGGTCTATTGTGTTTTCTGTTTGACGAGCTTGTCTATTTCCCAGGCATCTGGGTCTACAGCAGGCAAGTTGTTATTGTTTTGGGGTGTGTGTGTGCATGTATATATCTAGTGTGTTGTTGTTATTAGTAATAAAACTTCAGCTATACCTGTAGCTTTTAATTTTATCACCGACAACCCAAAAGAACCTTTAATGGTTGCTGTAAATAAACAATTACCATTTGCCTTCCGATCTGCATCTGTCGCATATTCGGTGCCAGCCACACAAGACCAGATTTATTCCCCCTCGCCCCTTTTCGCAACAAGGGTGTTCATGTCATGGGAGGAGTGATTGATGCAGGCTATCAAGGAGAAATTAAGGTAATCTTGTCAAATAATGGTGAGCAAGATTTGGTTATTCAACCCCACAATAGAAGAGCACAGTTATTGATATTGCCAGTTTTAATAACAACTGGGAGGAGGTGGAAGAACCACCCCAGGTTACCACCGTATGTGGGGATAAAGGGTTTGGATCCACCAGTTTTCATAATGGAGCAAAAGTATGGGTCCAAGGGCCAAACGGCGTGAACCAGCTGAAGTAATAGCTGCAGGCAAGGATAATACCATCTTAATCATGAAGCCTGGGCAAGAAAAATGGGAACATGTCCCTGCAAACAAGTGCTACTTGCAAGAATGAACTTTATGGTTCAGAATGGTGTAGAACCTTATTTTACAGACTCAGTGCAGAGCCACCAAGTGTGAGGACAACATGTGAAGTATCTCAGTTTCTATGTAATGATGGGCACTATGCTCCCTTTACTATGGAGATGTGATGGTGATAATGGTATCACAAGTACCTGCACAAGGAGAACATGTGCTGAATCTGGCTTTGTGCACATCGATGGGCAGCATGGCCTAACAGCAGTGTGATGAGGATCTGAACGGCAAGGAGGGGTCTGGCAGGGGTGCCCAACTGTGCCAAGTAAATGAAACCAGCTGTGGACCTCAGTCAAGCCAGAGTATCCCTGCGTCCTGGAAATGCAAGGTGTAGAGTGATGGTTTTGCACCTGGTGGTGGTATGAGAGTTGAGGCTCATCCATGTGCCAAAGGACCAGATGAGGTGCTGGGTTAAACCCCCAGCCCTGAATGAGGTTTGGCATAGAAAGCATGTCCACAACCAGGCAAAAAAGACCCTCCTAACTGGTTTTTGCCCAAGGTCTGGCCAGCCTTGGGTGGTAACTGATTAGGAGATCACCACCAGGTGCCCCCACCTTCCATGTTAACTTGGAGGTGGGAAAAGAAGTTAATCACATGAGAGCTGACTCTGATTGCAGTGGAGCTGGGAGGCCTGCCTACACAGTGGATGTGCTTTGTGGGGATTCTGGTTGTCAGAAGGGCTCCCCGACTCCTCATAGCAAGTGGGGTTCTCAGGATGGAGGGGCAAAATCACGAGTCTCTCTCTGGGAAACTACTATGTGATTGGACTAATCATCTGGCTGATTACATCTCCCATGGCTTGGTTCCTGAGTCAGCTCACTCCCTTCTTAACACAAAATGCTGTGAGTGCATTAATTTGTTCATCCCTCCAGTGGTTTGGCACCTTCGAACTGTAGTGTATGATGTAAGATCAGAGGAAGGGATCTGGATGTTAGTTTGCTTGTTAATAATAATATCCTTCTACGTCAGGCAAGCGGTCAACAAGACAAGCTCAAGAGCAGATATCTAACAATTAGGTATAGCCCCAGACCCACTTAGTTATTTCACACATCTAACGTTCAGATGACAGTTATAAGAGAACAGACTATCATGTTCAGTCAAATATATGCCCTTCTGGCAAATTTCAGTGGAGAAGGAAGATATATTCCAGATATCAAGTTAAGAAATGTAGATAAACATATTTAATTGAAAATTTTCTCTGTTGTGAAATACTGCAAATCAGCATCATATTGAATGAATTTCTTACAACGCTAACACACTTCCTGGAGTTTAACCTTTAACATGCCATTTACTTTTTATCACACCAGGACATTCAAATCCTCTCTCTCCTTCCCCTTCAACACTGGAAAGCAAAGTATATACACAGGTATAAATATAAAGATATATACACACCATTTCTGATATGACAAGCTGATATGAGAGTTCCTAACAGATCGTTTGTATTTTCCCAAAACACATGTCTGCAGACAAATACCTAAGCCAACCCAAAGGACTCTGACAGCAACAGTTTACCATAGCTCATAAATCAAGCTAAACCACAAAGAATATCCTCTGGATAACTGGCATATACTATGCATCTATGTTTCCCTACCACAGTTTAAATTCAGATCTCAAAATCCAAACCTAATCAGGCTAATTGTCAGATTGAAATACCAGGAATTTACTTTTTGTTTGCTTTAGCCACCTCTCACTGTAGAAAAAGATGCCCCAGCACTGCTCTCCGGTCGAGCTTGGGTTCTGAAAACAATTGATTTGTTGTGGTTGGGTGAAACTGGGCATCGCTCCCCACAGGCAAACACATGCTATTCTTTACTGCTCAAGAGAGAGGAGTAAGCCTTGTGTATTTTCCAGGAAAATAGGAATTGCACATTACAGATATGGGCTTCTACTGAAACTTAAAGCATTAGTCGCAGTAAGAGAACACAGAGTGCTAAACTGAACAGAACAGGAAGATGTTGAGAGTAACTAGGCAGGCTTTGTTTCCATGAACAGACTGACAAACAGTGGAAGGCAAGAAGTTCTGCATGGTGGGAGTCAAAGTTTGAAGTGAGGCAATATCTTCCATTAGATGATACAGTTGAAAGACACAACCTTTAAAACACATGAAAAATGTGTGCCTGAGATCTTGTCTGTTTTTTCTAGGTAGATGAGTTAATCTCTGGAAAGAGATTACATTTCCCCGTAAACCTTGCTTTGCCGTTGCAGCTACAATAGCAAAATCCTCCCCCGACTGCCCCTGAAAAAGCACTACCTCAGTCATGGATGTTGAATAAAATGTGGATTCTTGACAACTTTAGGCCTTTAGCTCAGTATTTTTGTATAAGGGATGGATTATTTCACTTCACTTTGAGAATGCTTAATGAAAAACCGCAAAGGCAAACAGCAAATGCTAGGTTTAGCAGCAATGAAGACATATATATAAAGTGCAATAATCTGCTCTACAAAATAATCTAAATTATTTTATTGGGTGGCCATTTTCATAGGTCAAAACGTGAATATTTAGGAATTTTCTATTAAAATATCTCCATAGTGCTTACAACTAAGGTTTAATAATGAAAATAAATGTTAGTCCTGTCTGGTTTCTTCTTCACTTGTTCCTGGTTTCCAGTTATCTTAGATTTTTTTCTATTCATCTTTATAATATTCATTTAAGTTTTTATATTGGAGAATGATTCTCTACAAAACATAAGCAGCCCTCTCTGGACCTTTTGGTCCTTCCCCATAAACAGTGCCAAGCAGCATGCTCCCACAACAGAGACTACAAGGTGTCATGAGTAAATCTTCATTGTACCAATTTGTTAAAGGGTATCCAACAGAGCTTAAAAAGCAGATCAATAAAGTTGAGAGAATGAATCAAAAGCATTTCAAGGGCAAATGGCATACATAAGCAGAACTGTCAGAAGCCAAGAGGATCACTGCTGAGCCTGCATAAACCTCTCTAAGTAACTGAAAGATACAACACTTTTCTAAAAGCAAGACAGAGGGTAACTCAGAAGATAATAAAAGAAAATCAGGTTAAGTAGCCTTACAATACAGTAGAAAGGGAGTTCAAAAGGTGTGATTTTTTAATTTTTTTTTTTTTTTAATGTGCACTGCAAGTCTAGTACATGCAAAATCCACAGCTGAATATGCTGCCCCAAACAGGCCTCCTACCATTAGGACATGCACATATCCAACTCACTCATTCAGCAAAGGCATAGATGTCCTCCTCTTGCTCTTCTGCACCATGTTGGCTTGGTTTCTTAAGGAGATACGAATGAGTGAGGGAGCCAAACGACACGGTTCGCCGTCCACTTGCATGGGGATAGACTTGTATGTTAAAAGTGTCACCTCACGGCACTGATGCAGCCTCTCTCCGTGACCACCCACCTGGAGAGCAGCCTGCAAAAGACACAAACAAACAAACAAACAAAAGAGAAAGAAAAGATGCCTCAGAACAGATAGTTGAGGCAGTTAAATACAAAATGCAGTTTTGCTGAGAGCATCAGTAACAGTGTTCCACAGGTAAGGCATTCTAGCAAAGCACAATGAATGCATTTTCACTCAAATATTGCAAAGCAGTAGTTAAAATTTCATGAAGAACAGTGGTAGGCAACAAGCAGGTATCTAACCATATGCATTGCACATCCCATCACTTTGTATACATCAAGCATTGTACACACGCACGCAAATATAGATACACACATGCATGCACAAATCAATGCCTGTGTTAATTCCTAAAGGTTTCAATTTGTTTTGATTGTTTTTTGTGTTTATATTAATAGCAATGCTACTAATTATTTGCTCTTTAAAACAACCACCCTAATCAGCTGCATCTGAGAGAGAAAAGTTATTTCCCTTTCCTGAACAGAATACAGTCTTTAATGTGAATTAGTTAAATTTAAAATCCTTACTATGAAAGATTACACAGCAACCGAACCTCGAGATTAAACAGGTGGAAGAGAGCAAGCAGAAGGATCTTCTTAAAAACAATTAAATATTGTGTTCAAAAATTTATTTCAAATTTGGTTATTTCAAATAAATAAAATAAGGACTATAAAACCTCCAAGCTCTAGGCATACTAATTAAAAGAATACATTTCTGCCCAAATGTGCATGACTATTACATGACTTACCTCTCATCTATCAGATGCAAAAAAAAAGAGATCCTATGCACTACTAACAGACACCATCTTAAACACATCAAGACCCTAATCCTGCTCTGTGCACTTAATATTATGAATCAACATAATACAATCAATTATAACAATACTTCTTATAACGTATTTCGTTTCCTTGGTCTAACAGACCTTCTTGGTAACAGACCAAGCACACCTGGGAGACACATAGAGCAAGTTAAGATTATATTAATACAGTCCAGGGTTACAATGGTTCCTCAGCATCACAAGAAATGTAGATTTGTAGAACCCTCAATTCTGAATGAGGCTTCCTTTAAAGAGAAAGAACAGCTCAAAATGCCCTACTTCTTCAGTCCCAGCTAAAATTATTGCTGGTGAGATCACTGTAGCCACTGCAAGTGTCTAGAGTCACATTACTGGCAAAACCACATAAGCTTCCAACTGAAACTTGCCAGTTGGTACATGCTAAATAAATAGACTTTTGACAACATTTTGAAAAACAATCAAAAATTTTCATGGGTGAAGTAACAAAAGTTTTTTACATAAGGTATACTAGGCTAGCAAACAAAATTTTTCTTACCTAAGGATTATTTCCTTAATCCACATTAGTGTATTAATTTAGTGAAAACAGGCTTGTCCACATTAGTTTTAACCTAGACCACACAGGACATAGTGGCAACAAAAGCTGAGAGTATGGACTGAAGCATGATCTGCAAGAACCTGCCAGGAAGCCCAGATATGTGCCTTCTGCTGGCCACACTAAATTAAGCTGCAGTGCTTTAGATAGATTAATGCTAGCACAAGGATAACTACCAACTCTCTGTCTGCATTTAATCATCCTCTGAAGAGATTGTCACTGTGTTCGACCACTGTGATAGTAGGACACTAGGGTATTTACAGTGAGATTGTTCATGGTGACACAGCTTTACTTCACTTTAAGGACAGCATTGACAGAAAGCATACTGAGGAAATTGTTGGTTGGATTTTCTTCGCCTAGCAGAACAAAAGGAGCAACACTGTTTGTGTCAGAAATACTACCAGATTTTCCAAAGCTCTTACTAATTTTTCACATTTTTAGTGGGCATATGGAAACTGTACAGACATACAATTTTATATAATATTCCATATTTGTTTCCAGTGGCCAGTTAAAAAAAAAAAAAAATAAAATTGGATTTTCATGCCATAGACTGAGAAATACAAAACCTATAAAGAAACAGCAGTAATTATTTGACCAGAGAACATTCCCACAATAAAATCATGCCTGCATGCTATTCTCACTGTAATAATCTTGCCATTCAAATTGGGAGCAATGCACATTCAGATTATCCATATTTTGCAAAGAATATAAATTTGTTGTTAAATAACACTTCTTTTATTAGAAGACTACAATATGTCTCCCTTGTTAAACAGCAGAGCATGCTTTTGCCTTAGCTGAATACCTGGAATCATGGTGGTTCTTCAGTAATGAGGACAACTATGCATTCTGTACAGCTGCCCACAGAATTCATTGTCTGGTATCACCTGCAGTATACTCACCAGTGAGGCCATGGTGAACCCAATGACTTCAATGTAGCCATCATCATGGCGCTGAGGCTCAAAGTCTCTGTGATCTCCAGGATTTCCCCAGGGCATTGTGCCAGCACAATACCTACAGAACGAGGTTTGGAAAGCAAGCTTTGAGAAAACAGTGTGACCTGACTGGTCCTGACTAGTAGCCTGTTCTGCTGTCTTCCAGAAGTATCCAGATACCCCCTCCAGGTTTCAATTCAGGGACAATTAAAATCCATGCTGTCAGCATGGACAAAAGGGAAAACCTGTCTTTTGTTTCCAAGCTGGTACAAAATACCGTCATAATCTATAGCATTTCCTTTGTTAGAGGAAAATGGGGAAACACCAGGAAATAGATAACAGAGCAGCAGCAGCAGCATCTTCTTCTCCCCACTTGCTTTGCTTTCTGCAGGTGAGTTGTTGAGCCAGAAAGCTGCTTAGCCCCTGTTAGGCAGGCGTGGGGTTGCTGGAGCAACTCCAGCCTTGGA